GATAATTTTGGCCGAACAACAAAAAAAAAACAAATTGAGCCATTCTCTTATCTCTATCTATGGAGGATTCTATGGTCAAGGACGTAGAACTAGAGGAAGAAATCCCCGACAAGTTTCTCTGCTGCGTCTGCCTGTAAGCGTTTTCTGTTTTGATTTTGGTTCGTCTCTTGCATGATTTGCCCTAATCTTGTAACTGATTATGTTACTTTTGGGGAAAAATTGAATGGGTTTGTGCTTAACATGAATTCGAATAATCTCATAATACAATTGCTTTCTGTTGTTGTGTGACGATAAGTCTTGTTCTGTAATTGATTTCGCTGTCTCTACAATTTCAAGTCTGTGGATGCCTAATTTCGTCTGTATCTGAATTTCATGCCTCAATTATATTCTCCTTCATCTTTTCCAATTGAATGATTAACTTGGTCGGTTTCGTTATGTCATGTAAGCTTTTTCAATTCATTGGTTAGAAGAATCTGTCCATGTATCATCATTTCTGTCACCGATTATGCTGTTCATTGGATGTCTTTTTGAGACAAGGAGAGTCTGAAACGATACTTAATCATTAGAGATTGATTTTGCAGGGAACTTCTTTACAAACCAATTGTGCTATGTAAGTTGACCAAGTCGCAACCACTTGCTCAATCTATTTTTATTTTTTTCTTCTGTGTTTAATAGTTTAGTTTCTAATGCTTCTTTTGGATCGCAATGCAGCGTGTGGTCATCTATCATGTTTCTGGTGCGTTCACAAGTCTATGAATGGCCTCCGCGAATCCCATTGTCCTATATGTAGGGATCCCTATGTTCACTTTCCGTCTGTCTGCCAAAAGCTTCATTTCCTGCTAAAGAAAATATACCCGCTTGCTCATAAGAAGAGAGAAGAACAAGTTCTAAGTGAGTTCTTGTTTACATTTCTTTATGCACATTTTATGTTGGGTTTATTTTTAAACAACCCTTATGTAAGTGTTGTTTTTTTCCGTGTTACTTTGTCAATGTCATGTTTCAGAGGAAGAACAGGAGCAAGATTGTTTTTCTCCTCAGATTGATGTTGTTTTGGATGAACCAAAGGCTAAGGATCAGTCCGTAAATGTCTCTGGTGAGTACCACAGATGAGATCCTTTTTTGCCGACTTTTACATGCTCGCTTTCTAATAAACTTGATTCAATCCTATGTATTTAGATGAGCAGAAGGTGGAAGAGTGCTCAAGTGCGGCAAAGTTGTTATCCAGTTCACCAAGTAGATGTGACAGCCCCAGCAATGAAGAACCCAAAGATGCAGAAACTCTTAGTGTTCATGAGACTGACTTACCTAAGAATAACAAAGTCAGTAAGCAAATTTTAAAAGATGATTTGCTCTGTTCAGCATGTGAAAAGCTGCTCGTGCGACCCGTGGTTCTCAATTGCGGACATGGTATCATCTTACATGCTTGATTTTTGATAACTAATTTAACTTTCAGCTGCTTCCTAACTTTCTTATTTGCTCATTTCCCGTGTTATCCTTTTCCAGTATATTGCGAAGGGTGTGTAGTAGATATGGCTGACGAGAGCGAAATGATCAAATGTCAAGAGTGCCATGTTTGTGACCCGAGAGGATTTCCAAAAGTTTGTTTGGTTCTTGAGAAGCTTTTGGAGGAAAATTTTCCTGAAGAATACAATTCAAGGAAAAGTGGGATTCAGAAAACGCTTGCCCATAGTAGCAAAGGGAGTAAGTTCTACAACCCGTGCCTTTTTTTAATTCTCCGGGAGTATGTCTTGAGCCAATTTGTAGTTTTTGACGCCACGCCAAGTCCATGTGCTCTCAAAGCTTAGTTCTTGTTGTTACATAGGATAGGTGAAAAATCTATTACCCATCTGGACACAAGAGACTGATAGTTTGTAATCATTTTATCCTGATATGTAGATTTTCAAAGCTATCAGAAAGAAGGCCCATCCTTATCTGACAACAACAATGATCTTCCCTGGTGGGCAACCCTTGGATCTAATGTTCACATCGGAGCTGGTTGTGATTCTTGTGGAGTAAGTGCATCATCTAAACCAATTATTAATACTCAAACCAAAACATATATATGATCTGAAATCGTGATGCGACATTGTTATGGTTTGCAGGTGTATCCAATCATAGGGGATCGATACAGATGCAAAGACTGCAAGGAGAAAATCGGGTACGATCTTTGTAAAGAATGTTACGAGAGTTCTTCAAAAGTTCCAGGGAGATTTAACCAGCAACACACTCCAGACCACAAGTTTGAGCGTGCGCGTGTTCCTCAGCTTATGATCAATTCGAATTCTATTGGGTTTCTTCTGGGACCAATGGTTAACGCAGATGTAGGCGCGGGTTCTGATGAGAGTGAGGAAGAGCCAACTGGTTCTAATGAGTCATCATCAAACACTGAATGAAATAGCAGTCAAGTAAACTGGAATTTGAATAGAGAGACATGGTGTGTACTTGTTATTGATATAGCGAAAATGGTTTGCGTTTGTATTCTATTTTTAAGTCAAGCTTTTCAAATATTTAATCATAAATCCTACCGAGATACGAAAAGAAAATCTTAGGTTACATACGAAAAGAAAATTCTACCGAGATAAAGTAATATTTTCGATTTTGATTGAAAACGTTTTCTATTCTAGAAACATAATAAAGTAATATTCAAATAATTGAAAACATAATAAAGATTACTTTATTGATTGAAAACATAATAAAGTAATATTCAAATAATTGAAAACGTTTTCTATTCTAGAAACATAATTTTGGAAGGGAAAAAAAAGATTACTTGTCATGTGACTGCAGAAGAAAATTTAATTTTTGAAACATTTGAATATAGGTTCTAATCTGGATAAACCTTTCTGATTCAAACTAAATCGAAAAAACCAGTTCAGAAAGCAAACCAAAAATATCGATATTCAAAAAAGTGGGATATGACCGGACCATTATATCTTAGACAGTACATTTAGACATTAAAACAAATCAGAGAACTATACGGTTTAGATGTTTTTCCATCTAAAATACATAACATTAAGAGTAATTACATCTGATAGCAGCCGATTATAGGGTAAATTGGCTAACTAACCATAACACTGTACATTTTTAAAACAATACCGTTCTAACCCTATAGATGCATTCGTTTAGGATATGTTGTATTAGGGTATTTGTAAAACTGTTGTCAGAAGAAGATCAACAAAAAAAAAAAAATTGAGTTTAACTTTTACATACGGAAATTAAAGCATTATCTCAATTTCTCACATGTCTTTTTGTTTGTAGAGAGAGAAATTTGAGTTTCTTTTGTTTGCAGAAATAGAAAGAGAGTGCGAGTATGGAGATTTGGCTAGGCTTTGACGATTCGAACTATAGATAAATTTTGACGCCGCTGATTAAAACGGAAAAAAAGAAAAAGAAGAGAAGGAGAAATGACCAAGGTGGTTGGTGGAGGATAAGAATCGTTGGTGAAGAAAAAACG